AATATTACTTAAATAGACGTATACTATAATTTAAATTTTGTCATAAATACAAATAGTCATTCGTTTAGGCTATTTGAAAATACAATTATAACTTCCATATTTTTAAACTTTTACGTGTATCAAGACAAATTATTAATGGCAATTTAAACAACCCCCCAAACAATAATATTACTGTAAAATCCATGAAACATATTTTCATTTAATAGTTGTATATTAATTAAATTTATATAATAATTTTTACTAATTTTACAACATTAATTAAACAATTAAATGATAGATCATTAATTTCTATAATCAATAGTCTTTTAATAGTAATTAAATTGTATTATTATAGCATTTACCATTCTATTCCATAATATTTATTAATAATTAGAAATTTTATTAAATGAGAAATAAATTTATTTTTTTTAAGAATAAAAGTTTATACCTATTAAATACCTCGAATATATTATTTGCAAATGTAATTTAAGACTCGTATAAATATGAAATATTTAGATTTTATAATATTTTATAGTTTTGATAAATTTCATATACTTTTTTATTCTGTGGGTTCAATTATAATCACTTACATGCGATTGCAGACAACAAAATATATTTTTGTATGCATTATAGCGCATCAAACTCTATTATGATGAACGATCTTGTAAATAGACGGTATTTCCAACGATTTTAAAGGTTCGTAATTCAAAAATATTTTGTTCGCCATCTTTACTTACAAGACTTTTCGAAATTTGTTGCTGGTTAACCTATAATCATTAGCAAACGTATATTATGAATTACGCTTCGACATCGTAAAATATTATTTAGTATTATTATATCATAATTTTATATATTAAAGACTTTAAAAATTTTCTTTAAATAAGTATGACACAACATCATACACAGTATGAATTACGTATGCTATTACTCTTTATACATGTTTATGTAGAATTTCCTTAAATTTTGGATTATTTATTTGCTATTTAAAAATGAATAAATACATTTAAGAAATAGTAATCTTTAATTATAATGAAATAATAGTAAAATTATAACAATGGATTTCAAAAAAATCTTTTCCTTTTTTTAGACTGAAAATAAAATTGAGACACGACTTGACTAATCTTTTTTCAAAATTTTCTTTCTTCTGCTTTTATAACGTAGGTTTCCATTATAATGTCAACTAATGCATTATGATCACTTTTTTCTTCTTCTTTTAAACAAACTATACGTAATTTGTCTTGTAATTAGTGCTTTAAATGTATATATATATATATATATATATATATATATATATATATATATATATCCATAATTTTAATTAATGTATTATATTTTATGCGCATTTTCGAAGCTTAATTAAATGAATGTACTATTTGATTTTGGGAATTCATTAATACGACAATTTATTTAAATATCTCCACTATAAGGTACAACTATACAAGTTTGTTTATTGTATATTTATTTTAATAGCATGATCATATTTAATATTTATTCGTTGTATTATATTGAAGCTTTTTGAAAATCCGTAATTTTTAATTTATAAAAATATGAGTTTTATAGGCTTGACATTCTGGTATTTTAATATTTAAATATATGCGTTGAATATTAATGCCAAGAACTATTTTATGAAACGTAAACATTGACTGCGATTGAGATTGTTAAATAAGTTTGATTACATTTAATTCAATTTTATGCAATTATTTTGAAGGCATTGAAGTACAGCTACGAAAACCTTCTATCTTGATACTCAAGTCATATAATTGACTTCTGAAAAAAAATGCAAAACTGCGTTAGAAATATTGGTATTCTTTTAATTTAATATAGAGGTGCTAATTATATGCATTTTATGTTCTGCGTTCATTATTTTTCAATGATTTTTAATGCTATAAAATTAATGTGTAAAGATAGGTAAAAGAAAAAGTCATAGCGCTATAATTTAACAACAAAATTTGCTATTTAACTTATTAAATGATATATTCATATGGCTAGTATGGAGTTGCTCTCAATTTTCTCGAATAAGAGTAAAGCTACTGTGTAGTGTTCGGTTTTGAACAGATAAATATTGCTACTTAAATTTAGTATTATTAATAATGTTAAAGACGACGGTATATATAAAAAAAAAAAAAAAAAAAAAAAAAAAAAAAAAAATGACTTAATAACCATCAAATTATGTTATCAAAATAAAACTTTGTTGGTCTTATAAATATTAAGTTGTTCTTTACATATTAAGCGACAATTATTAAATACTCGATAATTTACTGCTATACCTTTTATGATGCCTTAGTGTATAAAAATGTATAAGCCTTTCAGCCCATAATGACGTTCAAAAATTATAATTATTTGGAAACTAAAAACAAGAAAATTTGTTTTAAAATTTATTTATACAATTTAAGAAATGTATCATAAGCACGTATATGATTTACAAAATTTAGTGAACTCTTCCCAGTACTCTTCAAGCTACAATGCCCAATTTCAGAGATTTACCGCAAGCATTAAACAGATACCAAATCACAAGGAAATTCCCTTTTTTAAAACTGCGCTTTATTATATTACAAATAATATCATAAATAATAACAATAGACTACAAGCGAAAACTTTTTACAAAGAATAAATGATACGCATGCAGGTCATCTATTGTGATAATAAAAAAATTAACTTTTTTTCTTCTTCTCAGTAATATTAAAAAAAAAAAAAAAAAATAGTATGTATTATATACATACGAATATCACTATATGTTCAGTAAATCAAATATATTCTAATTATTTTTAAATAAATAAAACCACAGATACTTTATATTTGAAAAATGAGCAAGAATGCAAGAGGCACGTAAGAGTGATTAAAATCAAAACATATATATATATAATATATATATGTATATTAAGATTAAAGGATATTTTCATACATAATGATATTATTATTATATAAGTAGTATTCACAATTCAAATTTCACAAATCATCGTACTGTTTTTCTGTTATTTTTTTCTTACGATAACACATTAGACGGATATGAGATAAGCTACTTTTAATTATTTACTTTTATGCAATACTTTTTCATATACAAATTCAATTTTAAATAAAATAATTCACGTTCCTCCTTTAAAATTCTTCATTACTTTATTCCCTTGATATTATTCGTAGTTTTTGTTATTTTATATTATCTTCATTATCGATATTTTGTCAGTCGATTGGCGTTTAATAAACTTCATCCCAGCACAATTTACTTAATCAAAGAGCGTTCAAAGAGCGATTCATCATCATATACGCGCTTGAAATTTTTATTTTTTTTTTTTCTCGTTTAACTCTTAGAATTTAAGAAAGATAGAAGATGTTGGATAGTCACGTAAGTTTTTTGGATTAGTTACATATTGCTTAATGCAGGTCAATACTCTAATGACGATGAAATAAATTTTACACACCTTCTAAATATGCTATTACTTCATTTTGGTTATCCATTTTAATTTTTGTCTACTTACGTCCTTTATTTAAATATTTTCAATGTACCAAAGAGAGTGTGTACGGTGATAAAGTAGAGAAGTTTTATGTCGATAATGAAAACAACAACAACAAATAATAATAAAAAAAAAATTAAAAAAAAAATAATTAAAAAAAAAAATAATAATAATAATAATAAAAAATAATAATTATGAGTGGAGAAAGAGGGGGTTTTACTAGCTTATTTTTGTACTCTTTGAAAATCAGCGGAGGAGCAAAGCTACGACGCACTCTTCTCTCCATTTTTATTTTGTTGAGGAAAAGTGCGTTCGATCTGCGTGTGAGAAAATTGATTGGTTTGTCTGTTTTTATTTTTATCATTTATTATTATTAATTTTCACACCGTGCAATGCCACTTCATTTACTTCTTAAGATTTATGTATCCTCGATGTCGTTTACAAGACACGAAATTTTTTTAACACAAATCTGCATGAACATCATATTATGCATTCGTGCACGCTGTATCTTTTTCATTCATCTATTTCAATTGTCTTAATTATTCACATAAATATTATCGATATTCAGATATGCATTTTGCATGTCCGATGTGAGTGCCTGTATTATTACTATTACTTTTCGTCGGTTTATCTTCTCTTCTAGGAGCAGTCTTTGCTAATTATCCTCGTTTCGTAAAAATGTTGCAACATTAGGCTGGTATAGAAAATTTTAATTTTTTTTTTTTAAATTTTTTATTTTATTTTTTTTTTAAATTTTTTTAACTGCCGACGCTAACGCGGAACTAAGTCTTTTTTTTTTTCGTGTTGCTGAGAGACAAGTTTAAGTTTAAATATATAAGAAATCTTTTTTCATCAGTGACATGCAGCAAGAAATAAAATATATTGCTTAAGCCTAAACGTTTAGAGCATCGACGTTTCTATTTTTTTTTCTTCTTTTTGATTAAATAAGCATTTGCAACTTGTTATAAATTTTTTTTTTTTTCTTTTGTTTTGTTTTTGTTTTGTTTTGTATATATATATATAGATAAATTGTAGTTTTTGTAGTAAAAATTCACTTATGTTAACAGGCATTAGTTTGCTTCCACATTTCATATGTACATTCAACACTAGTTCTTTCTGAAGACGTACATTAAATTTTTATGACATAAAATTCAGTATCAATGCTCCTTAAAGTTAAAAAAATTTAATAAAGAATTATCATTCTCATACTTAAGTCTTTTTACAAATACAATCACTTTGTGTGTAGACTTGACTTAAATAAAAAAAAAAAAAAAAAAAAAAAAAAAATTTTTTAAAAAAATAATAATATTAATAAATAAAAAAAAAAAATAAAAAATAAAAAATAATGAATTAAAAAAAAGTGTGTTTAAACTTAGAAGTTATAAGAATTTTCACTTTTAAAGCAATGGATACACTTTTTAATAGTACAGGAAAAAATTGACTTCCTAATTTCTCAATAGTGTCTGTCTTCTCAAAAACTTGCTAAGGAAGACTCCCCCCACGAACAGCTTTTTCCACACAGTACAAGGTAGAACACGAAACATTTTAAAACATTAAAAAAAAAAAAAAAAAAACCAAAAAAAACCAAAAAAATAAAACAAGATGTACATCCTTGGGGAGATTCAGCCCTTTGACATCTACCAGGAAGTTGGAAGAAGTCTTACGTTAAAGATTGTTTTTTCCAATGAAATTTGCTGTTACAGGAAATTATTCCCCACTATTGTTGTTAGAGAAAAAAGAAACTATTACATCATAATACATAGTTTTACTTGACTTCATTGTTGTCAGTAATTTTCTCTTCTCGCGGTTTAGCTCCACCATAAATTGAATTACGAATAGTGGTCTCAGCTAGTGAATTTACGGGATCCTGAATGGTTCTAGGTGTTAGTACCAAACGTTTTCGGCCTTTCATATCTGTGAAAACAAGACAAACATTAGTTGTAATAACGAGTCGTAATATTTATAAAAAATATTGAACACATAAAGTTCTCATCAATTTTCTATATTACGCTTTATTCTAAACGAATTAATGAAAGATTTTTAACTCATCGATTCGATTTATCGTAAGATAATACACATTTTGTTTTGTTTTCTTTTTTTTTTTCTTTTCTTTTTTTTTACTTAAAAGTAAATTTTTAATCGAACGTAATTTAATATTGTTTCCGAAAATAGATTAAAAAATTGATTAAAGAACAATTAAACCGGCACTACATCGATCTAAGTGAAATATTTTTAAATTAATCATCAATACAATCAATCAATAATCATACGAAAATGTACATGTAATGAAATGAAATGAATGTCGATAACACATTGATGATCAATTTAATTCAATAGATATCGAACAAATTAGTTAGTTATTGTTGATTTTTGTATAATTCTTACTTATTATTTATTACTGTACAGTATATGAAAAAGAAAGAAAAGAAAAATTAGAATCATATATTTAGCAAATATTTTCCCAATGGCATTTACCAATCAGGTAGCTGCCGGTTTAAAGTCTTGTGCAACACAAATAAACAATTTAGAATACTGACCTGGGGCTGGTTCGTTCATAAAGGGTTCATCCGCGTATTTCCTGTCTGACATGCCGGGCCCGCCACGACTCAGTCTACTGCTTCCGTACTTGGACATACCGGGACCACCAGGGCCGCCGAGTCCACCTAGGCCACCTAGGCCACCTAGGCCACCTGGGCCACCTGGGCCACCTGGGCCACCTGGGCCACCTGGGCCGCCCATTCCACGTAAATTTCTGTCCCGACCGGCTATCTCGTCATTGAAGAAGTTACCGCGGCTACCGCCGAAGTTACCTTGTCTGCCGCTTGACATTCCTCGATCGTTAAAATCTTCTGCAAAATGTCATTCGTCACTCAATATATGCTCAAAACAGCTAGCTAGACACATCTTTATGAGCGTGTCCAAGTCCTTTTATCATTAACTTTTAACGTTGTTTTAAAACGAGATTTTTACTTTCGGAATTAAATTAGTTATTAGCATTTCATTTTATTGCCGTTAGAAGTCTTTGATGTTACGTAGGCTAGTAAACTCTTTTAACGGAGGCTCAATCAAGATATAATAACAATCGAATTGAGCATTAAAGTTAGTTTATATGTAATTGACGCTGTCGCAGATTTAGGCGCAACAATGTAATGTAGTGTAATGTAAATTTTGTTGAAGAAATTTCGTTTTCCAACATTATCTAGCCGGTACTGCTCAATACATATGGACATACAATTTTTGTTTCGTAAAATTTAGAAAAATTACATCAATATTAAATTAATTTATCCAATCAATTTATCCTTTTCATAATTATGAAAAATTAATACAGAGTGTTATTTTAATTAAGAACATACGTAAGAACATCGTAATCAATAATTTAATTTACATTATTTATACTGTACATATTTAAAATGAAACCATAAAATAAATAAAATAAGTATCATATATTATTTAAATGTGCAAGTCATTATTTTCTAAAGATTCATGAAATCTCGATTATTTAATCTAATTATTATTATACATTTACCAGCGGATTATAAGATTTTATATCAGGCAATGTAACTATATACTTTTCATTATGTTTGTAATGTAAATAATAGTTATTTAGCAATTGGATTATATCAATTAACAAAACAAATACGGACATTTATTTTATGCATATTTAATTTGTTTTATTTACATTAGCAAATCAATGAATTCGATGTCTACTTTAAATATGACAGTTAATTAGTTTCTCTTCGAATACGTACTATTCCATTAATTGCAAGATAATTCGCTTCATCGTTAGCAAAAAATGCTAACAAAAAATTATAAATAATACTACTCTAAGATATACATCAATTTTATAATTACTTATTAGTGAAATTTTTAAATTTAAAAATAAGAGCCAATGGTGTGCAAAGGAAAATATATTATTCGATAACAATTGAAAAGCGACAAAGAAAGAAAAAATTTTTTAAATAATTTCAAATGTCCTACATTCGATAGAACCAAAAAACCAAAATAGAACACAAAAATATAAAAAGCAAAGTATAATATTGTCTATTAGTGCTATATGCATGGACATGAAAATAAGAAAATTGTAAACAAAGAGCAAATTGACATTTATATTAAAATTTGGTTTTTAGGTACACAAAAAAAAAAAAGGCGAAATGTAAACGTCATGCCAGGCATAACGCTTACTTGTAAATATGAATGGGCTACCGAAATCATCGCCAAATCCTCTTGGTGGACCTCCATCACGTTTACCGAAGCCACCACCAGGTCCAGATCCACCTCTAGCCCGTCTATCAAATCCACCTCCTCTTTCATTTCTTTTACTTTCGGCTACATCGATTTTAATCAAACTTCCCTCTACGCTAACGCATCCATTTAATTTGATTGCATTTTTAAGATCAGACAGATCCTGAAACTCGACGTAACAAAAACCCTTAAACCTAAAACAGAAATTGTTACTTGAGAGTCGAATTTAATTTATAAATGAACGTTATATGCATTTGCAATTACTCTATTGTAATTTACTTTACATAACGTATAAGTACAAATTGTGCAGAAGTTAATAACATGATTCTAGAGAAAGCGCGAGCAAAGTTCTGAAAATGTAACTTTCGATAATTTAGTTTGCTATTTATTGCCAATGTCATATGGAGTAAAATATTTTATCAGTCACGACAAATTCATTATTTCGTAATAAAATCTCTCTCTCTCTCTCTCTCTCTCTCTCTCTATTTCTCTCTATATTTATCTCTACTCTCTCTTTCTAATATATATAGAGATATTTATTATATAAATTATATATATATATATATATATATATAATTGGAACAAGACACCCAATTACTTAAATAAATGGAAATAATTTTCATTTAGCTAAGTAATTTTAAACGATAGGAACAATTATACGCGTTCGATTACAGTATCGTCAACGATCTTGGCGCGCAAATATTAAAACTTTAAACGAACGACTTTCACCGTTGGGCAAACCATGCACCAAAACAAGCGATCACTTTTCTTTTTTACTAGCATTCACGCTCGAACGTATAATTGGGCGTTGAACGATTACGCAAAACAAAAGTAATTGCAAACCTATCTGTTTCACGATCTTTGACAAGTCGGATCTTCTTCACATTCAAGTTTTGAAATATTTTGTCGACATCGCCTTGAACGATACCGTCCGGCAGATTGCCAACGAACGCTGTGTATGGTGGCTCGGTAGGCAGAGGTTTACTGCTGCGCGAACCTCCCGAATAATCTCTGCAAAATATATAATGAAGAATTAGGGAGACTGACACCATACTATGCACGTAGCTGGAAAAAAAAAAAGCTTGGGCTTGCACAGAGCGAAACGTGATAAAAATCAACTCTGATAAGTAATACCGCAAGCCAATTTAAACTCGCTACTTCAATCTTCTGTCTACAATGTAGATTCATTATAATATGCATGCATGCGTGCGTGCGTGCGTGCGTGCGTGCGTGAATTCAAACGTACGTACGTACACATGACACACCGCACGCAAGCACTCGCTCGCTCACCTCCCAACACCCACATAATCAATCTTCTATTCACACAAAATATATTTATATTTATATTTATATATAAATATTTGTACACAATATGCATTCATATGTATAGTGTATATATATATGCACACACACATATATATATATATATATATATATATATAACGTGTATGCGTGCGTGTGTGTATGTATACAGTATAGAAAGTAGAAATGAGGGATGCAGTTAACACAGGGGTAGAGACGTAGAGATAGTCAGTTGCAAGCACTCACGCACAAACGTAGGAGCGCACTTACGCAAGAGCACTCACAGAAGCACATTACGTACGCACGCATCCACGCACGCACGCACGCACGCATGCACGCTTGCTCGTTGGTAAATACAGAATATCACGAACGAACAGACACAGAGAGAAAGAGAGAGAGGAGAGAGATTGAGAGAGAGAGAGGAGAGAGAGAGAGAGAGAGAATGAGAGAGAATGATTGAGAGAGGGAGAATGAGGGAGAGAGAGAGAGAGAGAGAGAGAGAGAGAGAGAAAGGCAAGGCACATATAAGACTGTAAGGATGTCAGAAAAACCAGTCAAAGCCGGTATATAAAGCATCCAAATAAAAGCGCGTGCCGATGACTATGTCTGGTCCAGCAGCAGATGTGCTGCCGGCCCAGTGGCGCGATGGCAATTCGCAGATGTTGCGGTTGCGTTTAAAAGGTTCGACGCGCGTGGTTGGCTCTCGTAGCGCGAGAGTTTCCGGAAGCCGAGCTTAACCTGCTACCTCGGGGGGCGAGCCCCGATCGCAACGACGCTCGCGACCCTGTATCCACGTCCCCATGCCCTCGGAATTCCACGGGACCGCTGGGCTACGTAAGCGCGGTAAAGGCACCGGAGCCGTTTATACTTGCCTTAAATCATTGTAATCACCTCGTCCAGCCATGTTGGATGCACGAAAACTGACCCGGGGACGGCGTGGGTCGGTGCCGAGCTGCGTAGCTAGGGGCGCCAGCAGCGCGCACAATATTCGTCCGCGGGGACTTTTTCTTTAATTTTTTTTTCAGGCAACATGGCGGCACTGTGACCGCCCGATTACCGCTGGCGGGCTCCGGCCACCGGCTGACACGCCCGTAACCGCCGTCACGCTCGCGTTTAGCTGACGACGGCTCGGCCCGCCCGATGGATTTGGGCATTCGACGCAATGCTTGGCCGAGTCTGCGGGGATCGGATCGACCATCGTCGTCCCTCCACTTCCCCATTATTTATAATCGAATAATTGATCGTTGAATCGTTCGCCGACCGTCAGTCCGATTATCGTTCCATCACCATCGCCACAACAAAACCACAACCCCCATCCGTCCGTCGCCGGCCCCTACGTCCCATTGACCTTGGCCTTGGCTTTCCGCCCATGAATTCAATCCCTTTGAAATTGTTGACCCGCGATCAACGCGGGCCTCGACGCTCTCTTTACGGGATCGTTTAATTTAAACGAGCGCTTAAATGAAATTGGACGATGCTCGTAGCTGAGTTTGCTTAATTGCGGATCGATCGCCCGTGCGCATAGAAATGAGCGAAATTGATAAATTGCCGCGTTGAATGTATGCGCCTTCAAATGCCAGTGGCCAATGTGTCCCTTCCTCCTCTCCCCTAACCGCTCGCCCCTTCCTGACAGACTTCCGTAAAACCTGTCGATCTTGACGTCACGGATATTGCTGCTCATGACCGGTGTGCCTAGCGTAATCCGACGTCAGCTTACGAATGCGTGCTCCGTGCACTCACGTTCATACCTGCATTCTATATATATGCACACGAGCGCGCGCACACGCAAAAGTGCATGCATCCATACATATATATATATATATATATATATATATATATATATTTACATATATAAATATAGCGATGGTGTTGATTGCACTATTGATTGCGGGCGATAATTTCTTTCTTCTTCTTCTTCTTCTTCTTATCATTGTTATTATTCTTTTTTTTTTTCTTCTTTCCTTTTGTTTTTCTTTTTATTTACTTTTTTTTTTTTTTTTTTAAATGCAGCGTCAGACGAACCTATGTAAAAACAAGGTCGAATTTTTAATAATAACCGCGCGAATGGTCGTGAGTAATTTAGTCGACAATGCCTCTTGGCGACTTTTCCTCCCATTTATTTCATTAGAGCTTTAATGAGTTGTGTCTCGCATATAAAGACGAGCAGTTAACCCGTGATTTATTTATTTATTTATTTATTTATTTTTTTTTTTTGTATTTCGTTGGATTAATTTGTAATAGGGAACTTTTTTTTTATCCTCTTTCTTTTCCCCCCGTATATATGCCGTCAATGATTATTTCGTCCTATTGACAATACTTTTAAGAGCTTTACATAAATGCATTTGAATAAATTAATTGGGACCGAATTCTCGCGCTCGAAATTGTCGTGCTATTTTCAAATTAACGGACAATTTCATTCACGAATCTTTGTAATTATCGGCTCATTTAACTCAACCAATATATTTCTTTGTCCGATTACACTAATGATGCACGAAAAATTGTCTTATTTACAAAATTTATTTTATAATTGGAAAACTTTAAGGCGCCCGTGCGCGCGCGAACACATAGAAACCTATAAAGCCAAACATACCTAAGTGCACGAACAGAATAGAGTATATTTTTAAAAAATTACTTTCGTAAATGTTATCTTATTTTAATTCGAAATCTAAGTATATTATCTAAGCATATAGTTGTCGTCGTTTAAATTATTATTTAAAAAGTCTGTGTGTCGATGGTTAAAAGTGAATTTGATATATATTTATTATCGGGGTATTTTTTTTATCCAATTTATCGCAAAAGTGACGCGTGATTTTACTCTTATTATCTTAAAAATTCAAAAAGCAGATAAATGTTAATGAAAGAAGATTGCTTTCTCACAAAGAATGATAATGATAATCAACGCACACGCGTGTTATATTAAGAAACGGCGAATTTTCTGAAATTTACTTAAGATATAAGTCTACGCTGAATATTGATTTCTTCGAGTTTATTGAAAGAATAAGTCAAAATTGCCTAAATTGTCTTTATAAAGGGACGAGTCTCATTTTTCTGTTTTTTCTGTTTTTTTTTTTTTTTTTTTTTTTTTTTTTTTTTTTGCTGATTTGATCTGCTTGGTCATTGTATTTAAAATTTACATAATAAGAGTGACAAATGGGAAGTATACAAAGGTAAGAAAAAGGTTAAGTTTCCGTTTGAGCGTTGAACGTATTTAATCGGAATAATTATCGAGTAAGTAATGTTAGTCAATCTTCATATATATATATTTTACCTAAATTGTGTAAAAAAAAAAAAAAAAACTCTCTCTTTCTAATAGTCATCCTTATGCTCGTATTAAATGTCAAAATCTGTCAAATTTTGGAAATTAATTATTAAAGCGTTTTAAACTCGTGAAATCGTAATCGTTTATATTTCCATAACAAGTGCATTAGTTAATAAGTAATACTTATTTTTTTTATCGTTACTGTAGTTATATTTTTATAAACGATTAATAATATTATAAGCGAGAACGAAGGCAATCGTGTTTAAAATTTTTACAGTTAAAAAAAATAATGATTTTGAAAATTAATCATTATTATCATGGGAATAATTTTCGTTTCTACACCAATTGTATAAAATATCTTTACGAATAATATTTTCATGAGAAAAACTCATCAATTATTATGAAATTAATTACTCATTAATTATTAATTGCTATTAAATTAATAATTAATATAAAAAGTAATTTGTAACATTTATAATTAGCATTTTAGAGCCGATAAAAATGAAGTTTTCAAATTTGAAAATCTATTTCGCGATTCGTTCATCGGGGAGCCAAAGCTGAAAATGGAGATCAACGATGTTTATGGACAGACTTGAAAACGATTTAAACTTCCTTGGTCTACTGTTATTAGTCGCCAATCCAAAAATGGCTACACTTGTAATAGAATTGTACGGGCATTTTAATGTTAACTTAAAGGAAAGGAAAATTAAACGTTTAATTGGAATGCAAAGCATTTCATTTAATGGCCTTCTAGTGCAAATTAAAAAGTCCTCGCTAAAACGTCAGTAAGTACTTAGACGTTAATATCTATTACCTTAGTTCCGAATAAAACATATTAACCCTTCGATATTATTATTATTATTATTGTTGTTGTTGTTGTTGTTGTTATTATTATTATTATTATTATTATTGTTGTTGTTGGTATTATTATTATTATTATTATTATTATTATTATTACAAGCAGCTACATTTGATAATATCGAAATATAAAAAGAAAATGCAGTCTTTATTTAATTATATATGGACTGCTATTATTTATCTAGGAAAAATTAATTTTGCTTTTTTACGCATTAATAAACTAGACGAGTCTTTCTGCACATTTTTTTTTAAAAGATATTTCAAAACTTTTATCGAAATGTTTTGTAACTTTTTACTTTGATATTCAATAAGAGGTGGTCAATTTGGAAATTTTGAAAATTTAAAGATCGATTTAGTAACGCCAATTTACTAGATAATTGAGATACTGTTTACTTCCATAATATCGTATATAATGATGTACATGTACAAGTACGTCGATGTAAGCTCATTTGTCTTATAACAAAGGGTAAGTGAAGTAATATAGTATATGTTAAATTCCTTAAAACCGATACGATCGAACGCATCAAAATCAGATTATAAGTACCATTAAAGCGTCAAGTATTTAAGCTTCGATCAAGCTTCTTAGTTTAATGCATTCTAGATAAAGCTTTTTTAAGTTACTATTATAAGGATAGAACGATTTCTTTTAACACAAGTTACCTCAAATATAATTTTATTTTATAATATATTTTTTTATTATATTTATATAGATAGATTCGTTGAAAAAACGGCAATAATAAGTTCATTACATAAAGCGTTTGAAAATCCATAAATCATTGCTTGGATTGCGTTGACCGGCCTTAAAAGATCGCATATTATTTTTACAATCCTTAAAAAATTTAATTATGGATGTTAGAATTATTTTGACCTCAAAAAATATAGAAGTTTTGACAATTAATTTCAAGTTTATTTTATATCTATTACAATTCTTATAGTAGAAAAGCGTATTAAAATGGAGATTTTATATCTATCTTATCTAAAGGTCAATTAAAAAATTACATATAAGATAAAATTGATTATTGTATTATAAAATGATAGATGAAAATGAGAAGTATTAATAATTAATATTAATAAATAAAAATATATTGATAAAACATAATTGAAACGGGATATTGATAATTTTATCTACTATGTTTGAGTTATTAATTTTCTTTTACAGTGAGTTTGCATAACATGCTTAACGATTAGCCTCAAATTCACGTTTACAAGATAAATAAGAAAAATCAAATGATTTCTTGTTATTTGATTGAATTCTTTAATGAAAATACAAAAATAGGGATTAGTTTTTTTTTTTTTTTTTATTTTTTTTATTTTTTTTTTTTTTTATTGGAATAGAAGGCCATTATAAATATCGTACTCGTAAAAAAGTTTATACAAAAGATAAAAAGTCTTTAAGGTAGTCTTAATAATATTACTTTAAATAATTTTTTACAATAATAATTATTTGACAATAATAATTATTTGACAATAATAATACAATAGTTTGTCTTAATATGCTTGTGGAAAATATATAGATATTTTGTAAGATAAAAATTTATCATAAAAAGAATTCTAATTTTGTAATTATCTTCGTCTTATCGAGAGACGTATAAAGTCATTGTAAATCGTCGGGATTTAAGAGTAAATTAGCCCAGCGTGAAAATCAGCAAGCAATCCGCTTCTAAACTATGAGACATGGAGTTGATCTTTGCATTACCATTATTAGATCCATGATTGCTCGCATGCAAATTTGTAGTAGCGATAATCACAACGACAGTGCACGCATTCGTCTTTGAAAAGAATTTTCAAAAAGAATTTTTTCCGTTCTCCTACTCAGAATCAACCTTTTCCTTGACAAATTTCTATCTTTCCATCCTTGCTGCTCTAAAATCACTTTCAAATGTGCCAGCGTCATTCGCTAGCTTCATGAAAAATCTTGCTACGTTCACTTATGAAGAAAAACCCTATACGCTAGTCTCGCATCCAGGCTCTTTCCATCATGGTGTGTCTATGTGCCAGTAGCAAGTAATTTTTGGTTTTTCGAATGTACGTCAGTGAGTATTAACTTTTGTTGATTCGGCTAGCAACTTTGGACTACTGTTTGCTGTGGCTGTTTATCATTTCGGAGGCCGTATTTCATTCGCAATATGCACTGAGATACACAATCACGATACAGAGAGAGAGAGAGGGGGGGGGGGATTATTAGGCAAATATTCAAATTTAAGATTCAATGCACTGTTATAATTGTTATTGAGATGAGTTTTTTTTTATCATTTTATAAAATATTTATAATATATATATACATATATATATATATATATATATATACATATATGTGTGTGTGTGTGTGTGTGTGTGTGTGTGCGCGCGCGCGCGCGCGCGCGTGTGTGTATGTGGCATATAACACACTGAATATGTATGTCATAACAAGAGTATCGATATCTATAAATTTTTTTTTTCTAAATATCTACAAATTTTTCCTCTCGATATCTACAAATCTTCATTCTTATCGGCATCTTCCGTTATTTTTGTTTACATATTGTAAAAGATTAGGGTATATTCGTTCTTTATAAAAGCTTTGCGTCAATATGAATGTATTCGAGGCTTCATTAAATTTGTCGTTATCATTTATCAATCTCTCCTCGACATTATATTATATTTTCTTTTTAGAAAATATCAAGCATTAGTTACCTTTAACACAAAGGCTTCTTTATTTATTTAAATTATAGCGCGTTAAGCTACAAATTCGTATTGTACGATCAGAAGTTTGCCGTTCTGAGTCATACAAGAGACTATTAAAGGTAGTCGACTTAACCACTTCCACGTGCGCTCTTATTTTATATTTCAAATCTCGTAAGTATTCGTAAATAACAATAGTGTTTCGTAATTCGAGCCTATTCTCGTTTCTCAATCCCTTTATTGCGACGTCGATCGGCCTCTCTCCTCCTCCCCCCACCCCGCCCCTCGTTCCCAACGAACAATATCGCGGTGCTCCGCGGACTCGGAAAATCTCAAACGGGATCCCACGGGATGTCCAAATATCGTTCTTCGTTCCCGGATCATCGAGTGGCGATTTAAAGTCGTCTCGACAACGCCTTTCTCACTCGGCGACATAAATTTGCGCAGCCAGGGACGGAGTTCGGGCGCACGTCGCGCTTCCTCGTGCCACTCTTTTACGCGCATACGTGTTTCGCTACTCGCGGCTCGTGTGCGCTGTCCGCAGGCGTCCACCCGTCGTCAGCTGTGTTTTTATTGCGTGCCTTTCCAAACAATAATACAACAGTACGCACGAACAAGTAGCGAAGGAATTTACTCTTCCGTACTTACTATCCTATAAAGCAATAGCCAATGTTTAACGCGACTCTCCGCTATTTAGTGCAATTCATCTTACGATCGGGGAAAGTCGGCTGCTGCTGCTGCTGCTGCTGCTGCTGCTGCTGAGGTCACGGCGCTCGAATCGGTTACAACTTTATAATAACCAGCAATAACGTAGTAAGCGTGACGTGTCGCGAGACAAAAAAAAAAAAAAAAAAAAAAAAAAAAAAAAAAAAAAAAAAAAAAAAAAAAAAAAAAAAAAAAAAAAAAAGGGGAAACAAAAAAAAACAAGAAAAAGACAAATATAGGGATAAGCCAGTTGTGATTAATAGGAGGATCGAGTGAAATCGTGTGTCGCACGGTGGCTCTATTTTATTCATACTTTTTAGGAAGAGAACAGGCGAAGAAGGTAGGATAATATGCAGAACCATAAACACTATCCGATTATCGAATTAATCGATCGTCGTACGGAAAATTATATATTTACATAATAGCAGCTACCTCCGTAGTTTCCTCTAATATCCTTCGCTTCGCCCACACGCAAAATCGTTGATTACCGTCATTAACCTTACGTACGCTTACACGATATCTCGTAGTTTGATTTCAAATTGCTGCTGCTTTACTTCTAGTGCTACTTCAATTACTCCTATTACTCTACTATTGTTATTGTACTGCTACTGTTGTTGTCACTAGTGTTACTACGCTTTTAGACAAAAAGAACAAACGTGTCAACATAGGATTATATAGCGAGAGAAACTTTCGCAATTGCGTCACAGATATTTTTGGAAATTTTAATTAATACTAACTTTTATGGTAATGTGAACGGTAAAGCGAATTTTATTTTTATTATTATCCATATGTAATTAACGCCCAAGGTCATGATATTTTATTTATTTATGTTATTATTGTAAACTGCTTTTGATGATGTACATTGATTTATAAGCTCAATATTTATGCTTTATTGATGAAGCTTTTTCTAACCATCCTGCTCTAACTTAACATTTAATCATTATTTATGTAACGTTTATACATACTATTTACTTATATAATCTATGTAAATGGTAAATCAATTATATATAAATTTTTCAAATGCAATGTTAAAAATGTGCCCGGTCGCTGGTGCTGAGGTATTTAAGGCTTAAGCGATTAACTCATCGTCTTGATTGAAATTCGTAAATTTCGCTTGTTTAAAGACGTGTAAAAAAGTAAGCAACAACGCCGTATTTTTGTTTCTTTTTCTTTTGTATTGAAAAAGTCAGCATTAAGACGCTCTTAATTTTCTTAATAGAGTTAAACAAAAAATGTAGCAAAAGTGCCTATTATAGTGCCTATTAAATATTGTTTAAATACTTAGATAAAATATTTACTTTATATTTTTCGCTCTTATTTCCTCTTTTATTTTGCCTTTCATTAATTTAACAACACAGAATGATACAAATTTAATTATCACTAAAATAGCAAAAACTCGTAGTACCTATTATGCAATTACACACTTTGTAATAACCTTACAAAATTGTTCTGTCGCAGGAAGCTATAAATAATACCATGAATAAAAATGGACCACCACCTCCGTACGATCAACCTCCATTGGCACCGCCTAGTTACTCCCAGTGTGTGGGTGGCGTACCGCCGGCAAGTCCATTTACACCAGCTGAAACATGTAAATGTCAATTAGTAACAATCGCGTTTAAATATTGATGATCGTTATTGGAATTAGCAGTAGCTAATTATTGGATGCGATACTTATGTATTTATTAATATTATGTTATTGTGTAAAGTTAAATTTCTATTCAATTTCTATTAAATTCTATTAAATATCTATTCGATTCGTATTTAAACTACTAATAACAAATAGAGTTTTGTCAACATAGGGATATCGATCAAGTCGTATGATATATTACAAAATCCATCGTACTACCTAAATTATGCATTATGTTAACCATTTCACTTAATTATAGTTTTGATTAAAATATTGATCAAAGTGGGCAACAAATTATTTTTCTTAATTCTTCTCCGTGCATCCATTTGAATAGATCATTAATTTCTAACTACATCCATTAAAATATTTTCCATGTACAGATGTAAGTGGACCTACAATAGTAACAACGATTGTACCTCTCGGTCCTGACTCTACCCATACAATATGCTCACACTGTTATGCTGAAATAGATACGGCAACGAGAACCGAACCTGGAATGATAGCATATATTTCAGGATTTATAATTGCGTTACTGGGGTACGTATTACATTTATCGATTGTATAGTGAAAATTAGTATTTATCGCTTAAATTAGCATGAAATATTTTTAAATTCGTTGAATAGAAAAGTTTAATTATAATATAAATACCGTATGTAGCTAAAATCCTTTTCATTTTAATCCGTACAGAAGTTGTTTTACTTATAATAATATTTCCATTATTATGATAATGTTGCGATTAAAGTGAAAAAATTGTTATTTAGCTTTATCCGAATTACTTATATATTTTTTATTTGTCTCTAGCAATTAGCTATAAGCAATAATTTCAATTTAACGAGGTTTGAAATTTTCTTTTTTATGTTTTACTCACTCTGAAAATTTAATCGCAAAACTAATGTGCTCTAATTTAATTTCGTATAAGATCATTAATTTTCCATGACATAAAAGTATGATTAATAAAATATTGATTTCAGCTGTTGGGCAGGCTGCTGTTTGATACCGTGCTGTATCGATGAATGTATGGATGTGCATCATACATGCCCAAATTGTAAAGCTTATCTTGGTCGTCATAGAAGATAGGCAAATCGAAATTATACGGATATTTTGTCAACATGGTATTTGTTGATGTTTTGCTGGAGCGCTTGGATGCATGTGCACATTTACAGAAAAGCTTAGTTTCCTCCATTTCTCTTCGAATGTAAATCAAATTTTTGTCAATCATATTTTGCACTAAAAACATTCCTAATGTACAAGATTATCACATTATTATGAGATACTTGTAATATCGAGAATATTGGAAATTTTACATAAAAAAAGAAAAGAATTCAATTTTAATGTTGGATCTCGCATAATATAATACAACAATTTTTTACTAGTTTTGAACTAAAATTTCTATAAATTTATACAATACAAATACTATGGATAAAAAGACATTTTTCTCATCGTTACGTTCTCTTGCAAATATCTAAAGAATTAAAATTGTACATTGCTCAAATCAATTTCAAATGGAACATATCATTAGTTATTCTGGTATTTAGATGATTAAAAGTTTTCAAACAAAAGTCTCACAAGAGTGTTACATACATAAATAAGAGTAGCTTTAAAATATTGTTTAAATACTTAGATAAAATATTTACTTTATATTTTTCGCTCTTATTTCCTCTTTTATTTTGCCTTTCATTAATTTAACAACACAGAATGATACAAATTTAATTATCACTAAAATAGCAAAAACTCGTAGTACCTGCCAATGATACTTAAATTATAAATATAAATTAATACCAGACACTTAAGCGAGGTAGTATCTAATATACTATCCAGTTACATTAAATATACTTTATTTGAAAGTACTTTTTTCAAATACTCTATTAATCAATATCAATAGAGAATCTTTTGATATGTTAAAAAATAATTCAACACAAATAACTCTCTATCATGTATTATTTATCGAGAGTCATTTATCATTTTCAAATGAATGTTAAAGATTCTTCTGTTTGTTTATATAATGTTTGTCTAGAAATTTATTCTTTTTATGTTTTCAAATTTTACTTTTATTATTAGACACATTTTGTTGTTTTTTTTTATATTACAATAATTTAAATTATAATTTCTGTGTAATCTTATATTTCATTGATACTAACATATTATTGAGAATCGAATCAAGCTTATTTTCTACCATAAAACTGATAATTGTTTTCATAAGCAACTAGTAATTTTGTATATTGTTGTTATCAGACGAAACTTTTGTAAGAATTAATTAAAATCAGAATAGAAGATAAGAGGAATGAATAGAGTTCAATGAAATACAGTGAACAATTTACGACATTGATAAATAAATATATATTTGTAAATAATTAACTGCTCAACATTTTTTCTAATGTTTTTAATTTGTCAGTCGAATTTAAAATATTTACAACCATCAATCATTTCGTTTTCTGATACAAAGTAACGTTCGATTGTAAAGTCTCAAAATAAGCATACGCAATGTTGCACATATATTGAATTAAGTACTTTTCTATTTATTAGTGCATCTGCAATTAGTTGTAGAATCAATGGATTCGCACTATTCCACAGCACTAAATGCAAATTATGTATATTTGTAAGTTAATTTAGTCACCTTACACTGTAAAAATTTTTGTATTAAATTTATTTTTAATACAGATATTAAAATTAAAGTATTAAATTTTATATTGTTATAATTTATAGCATACTATAATTTATTTACTTTATACCAAAGATTACAAACTTGATTCTAATTAAACCGATAAAGCAAAAATTTTTACCGTGTACTCTATGCCTTAATAAAAATTAATTGTCTTTTTTGCTTAGGTGCCGCATAACATTTCTTAATATACTAAGAATTTTCAAATAAATTTTTATAAATCCTTTACGAGAATTTTAAAGCAATAATCGTCATAAAATTTCTAAAGGCTATTGGCACCCTATTGTATCAAGTGAATTTTAATAGTCTTGTACAGGAATTTTTGTATTAAATATATATATATATATATATTATTGTTAATAATATAAACATTAAAGTATTAAAAATTATTATATATTAGTAATGTATTAATTTGTCATTGTGTAAGAGTAGTTTAAGGCAATAATATTTTTACTAATTTATTTGTAATGTTTTGAAAAATTAATAATTTCATGTTATTTTAAGTAATAAAAAATTATATTTGTTTTAAATTATTTTCATAAAACTTTATCCTTCACAATCCTCATACGTTAAAAGTATTTAATTTTATATCTTTTTTTTTTTTGTATACTTACTCAAAGGTAATTGTTTAAATTATTAAAAATTGACTTAGACTAACTTAATTTATTGAATAAAAAAATTAATTATGTGCATTTATATTTTTAAAATTTTACATCCGGTTTTTATACGATTTATTTCATCAGCTGATGCAGGTCATAACCTTAAAAGACTTTTTATAAAAGACACTTTTTTACTTAAAAACTTAATTTTTATTAAAAAGAAAATTGTTATCTTGCCAGTTAAATATTATATATAATATATATTAACGATGTGTGTGCTTTTGTTATTAAAGTGAATATTATTGGTCGAAGGAACCATTAGTTATTATTTGTACATGTGATGATATTTGATTAATATATTATGAAACGAATTCGTTGTAAAAATTAAATATAAATTTAATGAAACAGTTACTATATAAAGTGATTCGGTTCAGAAAATAAATAACTGTAGTCTAAATGTATGGCCGCTTATATCTATGTAAATATATTAAAATGTAAATTAATTTATTATTTGATAATAATGAATAACGTATATAATGTTTATTTATTAATTAATTTATTTTTCATTTTCAGCTGTATACGAACAATTTAAAAACAGGTGTAGCACAACGCGCGCGCGCGCGCATTGGAACGCACGCACTCGAACGCATATGCATATATATATATATATATATATATATATGCATGCATATATGTATATAGAAATCATGGAAATTGAATAACCAGAAGTTAATAAAGATGTGGCAAAAATCTGGAATTTATTGCAGACGATTTTTATCAAAGAAAAACAAATTACTAAATATAAATAACAAAGTTATTGTAAGAACAAATTCTTCGTCCCCTATAAAGTCTGAGCCAATTTGGCCAATAAATTTATCATTTATAAATTATGAAAAAATTCCATCAGAAGCTGATATTGTGATATGTGGTGGTGGTGTAATGGGAGCCGCTGTGGCATATCATCTTGCTTTGGCCGGTTGTGGGGAACAGACAGTTCTCATCGAAAGCTGCAGGTAAGGAAGTTAAGCTCCTATAGAAAATAGTTCTTTTGACACTTTGAATTACTTATAATATTGATTAATCAATTAATTACTTAATTAATATTTTATAAATAAGGGACAAGAAGCTTTTATCTTCTATTTGTTTTTTATTTTTGTTTGGTATACCAAATGACAACGAATATAACTAACTTATTGCGAAGGAAAATGAAATGTTTAACGTCTTTATAGTATAAGAAAGAATTAAATTATATCCTTTTAACGATATTAAAAGGAGGCTTAAGTTTATTTGAGTTTGTCTACGTATAGAATAGGCGAAGGTACGACATGGCATTCATCGGGTCTTGTAGGTGCTTTCAAGCCCTCTATGTCGCAAGTAAAATTAGCCCAAGATAGTATAGCTTTATATAAGGAACTTGAAAAGAAGGGCCTGTTAACTGGATGGAAACAATGCGGCAGTCTGTCATTAGCAAGGACGAGAGATCGTATGACATTATTCAGAAGAATGAAAGCCCAATCTGTGTAAATATTAATTAATTACTTGCTTAGCTTACTTATAAGAGTTATATTTGAAAGTAACAAGATACATCAAATTAGAAAGAAGACTACGGATAATCTAATTTAATAACTTTGCGAATAACATGAATTTTTACAGTAATTATGGACCTCATTTTTTATTGAATTAGTACATTTAAAATAATAGGTAAATGTATTTACATATTTTTTCATTAATTTCTAGAAAAATAGAATAAAATAAAAAATTGCATTAATTAATAGGGAAGCTGCTTGATAAACATTAAATTTTCAACACTTAAAATTTAAAAATTCAATCTTTGTTAAAGCGTTTATTCGCAAGAATTTGTTAGTTTATTAAATTTAAGTGTACTTAAAAAGTTTTTTCACTCAATTATCATTGAATGGACCAAGGATTTACAAAGTTTAAATTATATTTTATGTATTGTAAATCGTGTATTTTTCTATTTATTAATATTTTTTTTTTTTTCTTTTTCTTTTTTTTTTTTTTTTTATTATTTTTAATTAAAATACCATTTATTTTGAAAGATATGTATAGTACGGAATTAATAAATCAAATGTCCAATCGAATGTCTAATAAGTTAAATGTTAATTCGTCCCTTTGATATTTGAACGTTAAATTTCAATATAAGGGTTTTCTAGCATGGCTTATGATAATATAATAACTAAATAATTTGTTGATATTTATTAAAATTATATTGAATAATAATGCACAGTAAATTTAAACAACGTACAATAAAATTTCACAACGTTCCTCCAGATGTCTTAATACCGAATGTCATCTAGTCACACCAGAAGAAATTAAAGAACTCTGTCCATTGTTAAAAGTGGATGATCTTAATGGTGGTCTTTGGATCCCCGGCGATGGTGTCGCGGATCCTTATCAAATATGTTTAACACTAATGGGAGAGGCTATTAAAAAAGGTTTTTATTAATTAAAAAAAAAAATTATACATTTCTTAAGCAAATTATTGTTGAATTCAATCATTGTATTGTTTTAGGAGTAAGGGTGTATCAAAATTGTAAATTAACAAAAGTCATAAGCACAAATAATACAGTAGAAGGAGTTGAAACTACGAGGGGAAAGATAAAGTGTAAATATTTTGTAAATTGTACTGGATTTTGGGCGCGCAACGTAGGAAAATTAAGCGAACCTTATGTTAAAGTTAGTAAAAGTGTTTTTTTTTTTTTTACAATTGACATTTTACAATCACCTCATAACCCTTAACGTTTTTATAATTGCATTTGCTTAACTGTTGTAAAAGAGTGAAATTTACATGGAAAATTAAATATGTATTTATTTATTTATTGTTGTTGTTTTTTTTTTTTTTTTTTTTTTTTTTTTTTTTTAAACTTTCTAGTCTCGTTGAGTTGTATTATTAGATTGGTAAGCAAAAATTGCATTGAAATTATAGAGTATGAAATAAAAAGTAAAATACAATTTCAAATGATAGGATATTTATTCCGATATGTTAAAATTTCAATTGAAATGCTCATAGAATTAATTTTACCAAGCATATACTAGCAATTATGAAACTTGTAGTTTACAAATTATTACGAACTAAACTCTATTGAATTAAATAGAAATATTTCTCTAGGTTCCACTTCATCCCGTGGAACATTATTATCTTCACACACAGCAGATTCCTAATTTAGATCCAATGACTCCAGTAGTTAGAGATTTAGATGGGCATATATATTTCCGAGAGAATGGAGGATGTATATTGGCTGGAGGTTTTGAGCCAATAAGTAAACCTGTTTTTGAAGACGGCGTCATACCAGGTACGTGCCTATATAATCACTTACATTTTGGTAATTTACAGATTGGTGAACAATGGATGAAAAATTTTTTTAGAAAATCCAAAAGATCGCAATTTACCCCCTGATTGGGATCAGTTTCACATTTTATTTGAGCAAATGCTTCACAGAATACCGAATCTTCAAAATGCGACATTGAAAATGTTATGCAATGGTCCAGAAGCATTTTCACCCGATTGTAAATGGATAGTTGGCGAATCGCCGGAAATCAGGCATTACTTTGTTGCAACTGGAATGAAAACGGTATTTTCCTCCCAAAGCACTCACTCTTTATTACACATATTTATCATGCCAATTACGCTGTCCAGTGTTATCCAATTAAAATTGAACTAAGACTTTCACTTATATTAACAACATTGGCATTATTGAGAGAGAGAGAGAGAGAGAGAGTGAAAGAAACAATCGACGAAAAATCGACGAAAGAGAGGTTGAATTTGAAAATTCTTTATAGGTAGGGATATCGGCGGCCGGTGGAGTTGGACGAACAACCGCCGAGCTGATAACTAAGGGCTTAGCCTCCTTAGATTATTACGAATTAGATGTCAGTCGTTTCATTGGACTTCATAACAATCGTAAATTTTTACGCGATCGCGTAAAGGAGGTGCCGGGAAGGCATTATGCTTTGCAATATCCAAATCATGAATTTAAAACTGGCAGGAACTTGAGAATGTCACCGATTTATCCGAAGTTAAGGAAAGCCGGAGCTGTATTTGGACAAGTAATGGGCTATGAACGACCGAGTTGGTTTCAGCTTGACAACGAAGGTATTAAACATTTCTTGATAATAGTAACATCTATTTTATATATATATATATATATATATATATAGTTTCGTAGTCTACATTTATCATAATAATAAAGTCTAAATGTCATTTTGTTGATAACGATTCGGCATAAAAGCATGTGCTTTGTTACTACATTAGATTGTATTTTAATTATTTTAATTTGTCATAAATGCGTAAGCTTCTATCGTCTCAACGTTGTCCATTACGTCTATTATGCTATGAATTGATATTGATAGATGAATTCCTGAACGTTGACAATATTGAAAGTACAATTATTACGAGAACTCTTTTTGCAAAGAATCAAATTAATTCGAAGAAGTTTTAAAGTTTAAAGAAATAAGCAAATATAATCGTGAGTTCAGATTAAACTAGAAGCATCGGACATAATTATACTTTTTAAAATCAATTTTATGTGTGCATTATACTACTTAAGTTTAATCCAATTAAATTATATATTCGTTAAAATGTACTTCGACTTAACGTGGCTAAATAATATTGCAAATTATGTGATTGTGTGTTACATGCTTATATAACCGATAGTATTTAATATTGAGAAAAAAAATTAATACATCTTATAAGGCTTATTATTATAAGCTTTTAAATTAGATTTAGATCCAGTAGATGGATGGCAGAAATATAAAATTGCATATACCAATACATTTGGTAAGCCTCCGTGGTTTCCTTACGTTGCAAAGGAATATGCTGCTTGTCGAGAAACAATAGGTCTGAGTGATTATTCGTCCTTTACGAAACTTGATATATGGGTAAGAGTTGGCCATTTTATCACAAAATATAACGATTATTATGAAAATCTATAGCCGAGCTTGACTTTGGGCTTATTTTTACCAGTCAAATGGATTGGAAGTGGTGGATTATTTGCAATATTTATGCTCTAATGACGTGGACGTACCCGTTGGAAGTATCATTCATACGGGAATGCAAAATCATCGGGGTGGTTATGAGAACGACTGTAGCTTAGCTCGGATGGCCCCCAACTAGTAAGTATTAAGAGTGAATTAATTAATTATTTATTTATTTATTTATTTGAAGCTACTTGCTAAATTTATTTTCAAATTGGCTAAGGCAAATATTTTTATGCTTTCTATTTGACAAATGCGTGTGCGATTTTACAGCTTCATGATGATAGCCCCAACTATTCAACAAACTCGTTGCAAATATTGGTTAAAACGACATTTGCCAGCTGACGGCTCCGTAGCTTTCTCCGATGTCACTTCAGCGTACACCGCCATATGTATTATGGGTCCTGCAACCAGACATTTGCTCTCTGAATTAACGGATACGGATGTGCACCCAAAGAACTTTCCCTTCTTCACGTTCAAGGTACAGTGCAAACGATTAAATCCATCGGAGCTTATCGAATATTGGGCAGAATTAATGATTAATTTTTGTTTATTTGAAAGGCCAATACATTCGAGGGAAATCCTATTAGCTTATTTAGCTATTATTAATATTTGCGCTATAAATAGCAAGTGATTTTACGGTCTTTTGTACGGTCATTTAAATAATCAATTTGAATATTAAATCGAGCTATTTTGCGACTTTACAAGAATTTGTCGCAAGACGATAAATTTATATTAAATTGCCAATTATTTTATCGAGATATTACGATTTTATAGGATTGATATCAATGAACGTAGACTTTTGTATTTTCATACTTTCATTTCAATCTATTCCTTATGACAATTTCTTTCTTTTCATATATATATATATATATATATATAAACTGTTGATTTTTTTTTTTTTTTTTTTTTTTTTTTAAAAATTTTTTTTTTTGTAGGAGTTGGATGTTGGCTTGGCTAATGGAATAAGAACTATGAATTTGACTCACACTGGAGAGCTTGGATATGTGCTTTACATCCCCAACGAAGTAATATAATTTAAAGTTCATTTATTTATCAGTCTATGGTATTTTAAAAATTGAGATAATCAAGGCCAAGTATATTGTATCTTGTTTTCAGTTTGCTCTTCACGTTTATACGCGATTAATAGAAGCCGGTGAAAAATATCAAATAAGGCATGCTGGCTATTATGCCACACGTGCCTTGAGAGTTGAAAAATTCTATGCTTTTTGGGGACAAGATTTGGATACCTTTACAACCCCTTTGGAATGCGGTCGAACATGGAGGGTGAAATTTGAAGTTAGTAGTTAAATTATAAGAGAAATTAGAATTTATTTAATTGCAAAAGATATAATAGAGGAATATAATTAAATCGTCAGAGCTTTTCTGTTAATTAATATTCCTCTATCCACTTCGATCTCTGATGGCTGACGTTCTTTTTGTTAAAATAATTGTCATTTACCGTGAAATTTTTTAATTACCTTGTTCTATCGACTCCTTTGTTTAATCAACACTTTAATGAATATACATGAATTAAAGAGTCAAGCTAAAGAAGATCAAATCGTGTAATGTAACTAATCATCGGAATTATTGATCATTTTAAACGCCATTTTGTAGAAAGGAGTGGACTTTATTGGCAAGGAAGCTCTTCTAAAGCAAAGAGATCAAGGCGTAACCAGGCAATACATTCAACTCCTTTTGAACGATCACGATCCTGACATCGACACGTGGTGTTGGGGTGGTGAGCCTATATACAGAAACGGAAAATACTCTGGAATGACAACTACAACCGGATATGGATTTACTTTTAAAAAACAAGTAAGAGCCTCCTTCCCACGAAATAAGAAAAAATTAGCAGCCAAATTCTTTGGTATCTCATAAGATATCATATTTAACGATTAAACGTAGACATCTTGTAATGAGAATTATTGCTTCTTGTTGTCACAGGTGTGCTTAGGTTTCATTCAAAATTTAGACTCCAAGGGCGTCCCTCAACGCGTAACGAATCAATATATTCTCGCTGGAGATTATGAAGTGGACGTAGCCGGGATAAGATTCCATGCAAAGTGTCACTTACACAGTCCAAATCTGCCGACGAAATTCCCGGATAAAGAAAGAGACTCGTACCACGCAACTCGCGATAAATGAAATATCCAATTGGAAATTAGGCTTATTTAAACCGTACGAGTTATAACACTTTCTCCCCGTAAAACTTTATGATTATTATAAATAATGTAAAGTGTATTATTTAATTTTTTTTTTTTTTTTTTTTCAAATTGATCAATCAAATTTGCAAAACTATACATTTTAATTTTAATCTTACTCAAAATCAAAATATTGTAAAATTTATAAATTGTATACGATGTATAATAGGTGTATGCCACTTAAAAATACACTTCAATAATCAAATGAATTTATCATTTTTATTATTTATTTTATAAACGCCAAAACAAAAAAAAAAAAAAAACAAAAAAAACGAAAGAATTAAATAGTTCATTCGACTTTTACGTATAGATGTTTTAAGAGAGGACGAACCGTAATTAATTTATAGATATTTTTATAAAAAAATTTCCTTTGCTATATTTAATATAAATTATGTTCTTATAATTAATTTGGTCCTTATTATTTTCATGATACAGTTTCAAAAATTTTGTCCCGTTTAATGTTTATGAGAAAACAATACGCTTTAAATAATATTCTTACGATGTCGCAAGTTTTGGACAAAATAATACCAACAGCTAATTGTTTCAAGAGTATTTTTCATTCTTTTATAGGCAATGCGATTTTCGTATTTTTTTCTTTCTTTTCTTTTTTGTTTTGTTCATATACTTTCGAATCTCTAATACAATTATTTATTCTATGGGATTCGTTTAATTAGAAGTATTTTCAATTTTAAGGGAGTGGAATGCTATTAAAGAAACAATGTATATAGAAATTTTTCACTTATTTAATAAATGTCATTCATAAATCTTTACATAACGTTTTCTTTCTTTTTTTTTCTGTCGCATTACAAGCATAAACTTATCGAAAACACACATTTTTGTACAATATTACATTGGAGTACCATTTTTCTTCATAACACGCCTTGACACTTCCTGCGTTTGCTCCGGACGCACTTCAGAGATTTTACTCTGCTCTGCTTAAATATTAAATTACACGTGACTTCGAATAATTATAATCAACATTCGTTATTTTTATTTCAAACTAAAAGGAAAAGAAACTATCATAATTTATCGTCGCGTTCTACAGAATGCCATTATGTCTTTCGCAAATATTCTTAGAAATTGTCCTTGCTTTTACTATATATCCTATAAAGTATAAAATACAATACTAAACACACCTACTGGTGAATACATTATTTAGAAAGACACGATTTAGGAGACTCGTAGAGTTTCGTTGCTTTTTCTTTTATATACTTTTTATCTCACTGATGCAACGAAAATCTGCCTGTTTGTATTAAAATATTAACACGTTAATTGCATTATGTACTCTATTAACTTATACTATGCCTTACAATTAGTATATGTATATATGTATATATTTATACGATTATTAATTAGGTTAAAAAAAAAGAAAAAAAAAAAAAAAAAAGAAAAAAAAAAAGAGAGAGAGAAAAAATAAAAATTATTATATAGTTCGAAGTATGGTACACCTAGATCAACAACTTTTTACACGCTTATTTTCACGTATATACTGTACAAGATAATCGACAAAGAAGAAAACGTCTTATCACTCTGGGATTTCTGGTTCTGGAGTAGGTTGAACTTGTTTTTGAACCATACATGAACGAGCTACTGATTCGAACAATCTGAAAATAAATAAATTTATACTTTATAATACTGATAATAAACTTAACATGCATTGTTTTTAAAGTATCTCGAAATAAAAAATTTAAATAACTTTTAGTGAGTGATAAATAAAATGAAATTATTTTATCTTATGCATTTTGGATCAAATAAAAAAACTTTCTCATCGAGGGGATATGTAAAAGTTGTTTACCACTGTATTGGTTATTTTACTAATTCGACAATCAAGTTATTCGATTGAATTGTAAAAGGGCTTTGATTTATGAAAAATCGAACAAATTTAAACGTTGATCAATCTCTTGCTATGCAAAATTTCGATTCAATCTCTTATTTCAACAATTAACAAACAATTGGAAAAGCCAAAAATATCATTAGATAAATACGTGTATAATTGAATTGAACCTTATTATTTATCATTTGTTCAATAGTCCAATGGTAAACATAGAGCTGACATATCCTCTACGTATGAGTAGTAATAAATATATTTTTCGTGAAAATTTATAATTTCTGTGAAAAAAAAAAGAAAAGAAAAGAAAAGAAAAAAAAAAAAAAAAAAAAAAAAAAAGAAAAAAAAGACAAAAAAGGAAAAAAAAAATAAAAAAAAATAAGTGAAACAAATTTTCATCAACAATTCTATATAAGAAGAATAATATAGATAACTTATTTTTCATTTTGTAATAAAATAAATGCCAATTCTCAAAAGTGGCTTAAAATAATTATAATTGATTATATCTACTTTAATTAGCGTTAAATATAGTAGTTATTTATATACTTATATTGATTATTTTTAAAATATTACTAATTCAATGAAGAATTAATAAACATTCTAATTAACATATATGTAAATAAAATTTTTTTTGAAGAACTATAACAATTATGGCATACAAACTTTTCAGAAATTTGTAGAATTTATTAAAAATGATAAAAATATTTAATTTATACATAATCTTTAATACAATATGGTCTTTCTTATTGTAAATATTCAATTGTCTTTTAATTACATGTAAAATGTTTATTCTTCTTTTTATCATAAAAATAAAATCATACAAAAGTCTATTACGTGTAATAATAATCCGATGAACGGACAAAGCTCTGACGTCGAAACGTTGTAGGGAGTAATAAGAAGCAATTATTTTTGTTCTGAATACCCTTTCAGAGAATCAAGCTGATTGAGTCAAAGAATCTTAAAATAAAAATGAAAGATGACGACAACTATGAATGTAGCTAATTTAATACGTTTTAAGATATAATTAGAAAAAAAGCTTTTCGTATCACAATTTTTAATAGAGCTTTCCAAAACATTCGAAAATTACATGTATTTATTACATAAATATAATGATTATACCATTGGAAAATTTTACCATTAATAAAAAGTTTATTTTACATTTTACAATGAACTTTAAAGCTTCACTAAAAATGGTGATTAAAATGCATGTAATTAAAACAAATTATAATATATAATGTAGTTGTGTGTAAATTTAAATATGAAAGAAAAATTGTTCATATAAATAATAAATAAAATAATTAAAGCTGACAATTAATCGATTAATGATTAAAAATGCATTGATTTATACGGTCATAAGCAGTTACAAATAAGTTTAAAAAAGAAAAAAGAAATTATTTAATTTAAAAAAAAAAAAAAAAAAAAAAAAAAAAAAAAAAAAAAAAAGTATTGTAATAATGTATTGTAAATGTATATAAAGTGAACAAGTAATTTCTCTCAAGTTTACTTTCAAATTCAACGATTAATTTAAAAATAGAAAAGTAAAAGTAATAAAAAAAGAAGAAGAAATGTTTAAAAAGTATTGATTATTATGTCTACTTATTAATTATTAATCTACATTTATTTGTTTTTTTGTTTTTTTTTGTTTTGTTTTTAACAATAAACATTTTTCAACACATGTTAACGTGTCACTAGATAGAATGTAAGCTTTAAGCAATGCACGTCTTACATAATGCTTGGATTATGTATTAACGATTAAAAATAATGTTACGTTAATTATTCTGATTAGCGAACTTAAGTTAATCAGGAAAGTATTTGCAAAAGTCATTGATCGTAATACATAGTATGCAGTAAAGTAATAAGGTACAAACTCTCTCTTGCCATCTTTTAATTTGAAAGCAAATTTAAAAGGAAAAAAAAAAAAAAAAAAACACAAACCAGAAAGAAAAATGAAAAAAAAAATGCCTTCATGTTAAGACAATACTTAATGACATTAAATATACAGATAAACAGAATGACTTAATACGATCGAATCTCATGGATGTGCCGACACCTCCAAAGCTCACATAAAATCAGGCGATAAAACATAAAGACTTACTTTTCAATCTCATGGGCACAATGCACGAACTCGTGTTGCCAGAACTTGTACGCTGGATTTTTGATAAGCTCTATGAATGTAATGAGTAGTCCCCACGGATGTGGCCGATTGACAATTAGTCTCTCGAGCAGGACTCTGGTGATTTGCTCTTGTATAGCCTCGGTGTTCGCCTCGGAGAACAGATAAAGAAGCGTGCAACTGAAGTAATGCGTGTGACTGTTGGGATAGCGAAGCTGATTGGCAATTGCGTTAAGGAAAAGGTAGCGACCCTCCGTGTCAAGGTCAACCGCCAGATTTTGAAAGATGTCCATGTGCGCCGAGTGGGCGATCGTTGACATGTTCGGCGTGTGACCCTTGCTACGTATAAAAGCTATCGCTTGAGTGCCCACGTAAAGGACGAGTGCGTTCATCAGCTGGATGTTATAGCGCATTCCCGCCTCCTGGGAGACCTGCGAATTTTGCAGCAAAGTTTTACAAATTACGCGCGAAATTTTACGACGACCCTTAATCATCGTTAGAGTTTTACAAGCCTTTTTATAAGATCGGACATCCTTCTATTATTATCATTTGCTTTTCTTTTTTCATCTTCCATCTATTTTATGCGCTATCGCGTATGGTAAGAGGCAAACATGAATTGAATGTACAAAATTGATAATCAATAACGCGTGGATTTGAAATTTGCGGGTTATTTTTGATTTTCTTTTTTGTTGACAATAGTAATTTCAAAATGATACTTTTTAATTGGATATTGTAAGAGATACTAGCATTATTGTCGCGATTAATTTTCTCAACCTCTTATATTTAAAGTTTATTTGCAACATTATATTGTATTTCTATTATGTTAATCGTAGCAGCATACGATGCGACAGTTTAGCGCTCCAATTAACATATTCTTTTTCTCATTAATTATGCAACAATTGGCTCGAATGTGCAAGTTTCGTAAAAAGCCACTTACGTATGCAACGACGACAATTAACAATACCGATAGTAATAATAATAATAATAATAATAATAATAATAATAATAATAATAATAACAACAACAACAACAATAATAACAACAGTAACAACAACAACA